CTAGCTTCGGAGAACCACACTTCACCTACTCCATCACCAATATGGAAAGGTGTTGCGTGTCCGCCTCGCAGTCGCCTCCTAGGATCGAAGGTTGCCGGTATCCCAACAGCCTTCTAGGAGGGGGCTAACCTGCAGTGCACCTTCCTGGCACCAAAATATGACTGGGGCTAAAATAAATAGTTTAAATTAACTTAACTGAATAAATCCCTAGCTTGCCTCCGGATGCTTAGGGTGTTTTAAGTTTTGTTTTAACGAGCATGCATCCAAACAGGCTTGGACGTCATTTTTGTGCTCCATTGTGCTGATCACCACGCACGTACTCCGAGTCCCTAGTTAAGTCTTACAAGCCAGGTAAGTTGATTAAACTTTTCCCTCATTCATTATCATTACATTTACCTTAAATACATAGCTCCTTTAAATACATTGCGTATCAGTTCTTTTGATTTGTGCTTTGTTATCAGTACTTACACGTTAGGAAAATACTGGGTAAGCAGGTACTAGAGCACATCAAGTTAAGTAGTATTGATCAGACGTTACGGAATTGTAACACGCACCCCTACAATGTTGTGGGTCGCAAAGTTGGTGGCATACTACTTTGTGTCCGTGATGATGTCCACATACAGTTAGTTACTTCTGGAGCACCCGAATGCGGGGCCTGTGAATACACAAGTCGCGAAGAGAAGCCAAAGCAAGGTCTTAGTACTATTGGGTCTTTAGGGTCATTTACCGCAGTCCGTCCTGCCTTCCAAAAGGGCTCGTGCTAACCTATATACGTAATTGGGGTAGAAGCGACAGATGCCTAATGGTTGGGGATCTGAACGCCGCACACATAAACTGGACGTAGCTAACAGTCTCAGCATCGGGAAGTTCCTCCGAAAACGACTTACCCTTGATGGCATCAGAATCTGTTTTGGTTCAAAATGTAACATGTGCAACACGTTACGATTATGAACACAAGCCATCGCTATTGGATTCGGTTTTAACCCACCAATGTGAAGACATTTTGGATCTACGACACTTCCCTCCCTTAGCTAACAGCGATCATGTAGTGCTAAACTTTGGTTTACATACTAATGAGTCTAGTCATGACATTGCTTCTCCTTGTTCATTTTCTGCATATTTATTCCGCTTGGATGTTTAATTATATGAACATGCAGCACTTACATCTTCCAGTGACAAAAGGCAAGGATTCAGATTGCCTTCTATGAGGACATGTAATCTATGTAGAAACTTATTCGTGCCTGCAAAAATGGTATGTGCCAGTATATTCAGGGATAAATATTATTGTTATTATTGTAGACCCAGTGTATGGCGCACAGACATTTCAGGTACAAGAAACTGGCAGTCAGCAAGGATTGGACTGTTGACGAGGACTAATCAGTAGAGGACGCATGGAGCAGGTTCAGGACCTTATTTGAAGAGGTAACAACGCCACTTATTTTATGATCGGCCCCACGACGATCCGCACATCGCCCTCCACTAATAAATACTGTGTTCAAAGCAAAAGAAAGTCATACAGTTGCTCAATAATCCTAGACCTGGAAAATCCCTCGGTCCCAATGAGTTGCACCCCGGACTTCTATCTCAGCTAGCGGACATCATTGCTGAGCCAGCCACAGATCCTTTCAGTGTTTCCCCAACTCAGACTCGCCGCCCTGGAGACGGGAAAGACGCAATAATCAACCCAGTTTTTTAAGGCCAGTAGTCGCCATTTGGTGTCTAACTATCGCCCTGTGAGTCTAACTAGCATAGTTATTAGGATTTCAGGAAAAATAATTCGTGACAACGTCGTTAAACATGTTGAACCAACCGATCTTTTGGCGCCACAGCAACACGGTTTTTATACTGGACATTCCTGTCTAACTAACCCCCTCATCGCAAGAGAGGAATGGTTACAGCCCATGATTGCAAACTGCCAACAAATGTCATGTTCATGGACTTCAGTGAGGCATTCGCATGTGAAATTACTAAGAAATCTTTCCCCTTTCTGGTTTGGCGCTTCACTGCAAGCCTGGATCAGGGACTTTCTGCGTTGTAGAAGGAAAAGTAGGGGAAAATGAAATGCTGCCTGGTGGAAACCTGTGATGAGTGGAGTTCGTCAGGTAACAGTCCTAGGTCAGCCACTCTTCTTGTTGTATATCAGCGAATTACAGAAGTTGCTCAATTCTTTTTCACTGCCATTCGCCGATGGTGTGAAGATCTGGAGAGCCTGGAAAGCAACTCTAACAAAATTACAATTATGCACATTAGTCATAGTAACTGTTTCTCCCCTTTTAGGACTGATTGTCTCCGAGGGGATCGCAGCAAAATTCAAAAACCGTAATCAAGTCAGCTTAGCATCGATCAACGTTTCTCCCATCATGTTGTCGGCGACAGGAACTTACCACCCCAGCACACGGTGTTAGCACCCTCAGTTAATGCCTTCAGGGGAAACTAAATCTTCACAGAGGTATCTTCTGCAAGGATTAACACAGGCCAACAGGCCTACTATCCCTACAACTGAAAACCACATGTTGAGCACCACATTTGACACGGCTCAACACTCCATCAGGAAAGTATGCATGCTTCCTGCCCGAACAGCTTCAAAAGTTATCCGACGCTCCAGAGTTGTTCGAAGTACAGATAACTGGTGCTTTCGCTCTCGACAAGCTATCAGGGCTAAGCGCGGGAAAAGCCCCGAGGTGCGACGACATTCGCCCACCTGTGGTGAAAGGATGTGCAAGTGCCCTAAGCGGCCCACTCTGCAGTCTCTTCCAACACTCCCTGGACGAACAAAAACTCCCACTATAGTGGAAACGGGCCATCCTCTCGCTCATCTTCAAAAGAGGAGACAAGCAGAATCCAAACTGTTATAGGCCCATTGCACTTCCACCCGTAATATCAAAAGTTACGGAAAGTGTGATGGACGACCATATCCGGGAGTATCCAGACAAGAAACAGGCACCTAGTGACGCTCAAGATGGCCCGTGGTCACTGAACAACATGCTGGGATCTCAAGGTCCCGGTCCACGCGATGTTTCTGGGTTTCACCAAGGCCTTTGACAATGTCCCACACACGATCCTAAAACACAAAGTAGACGGATTAGGTACCCACATCTGGGTGCTACCTTGGCTTCAGAACTACTCAGACAGTGGGGAGTTCTGCACGAAGGTAGACGGGGTCCACTCAACTTGGAGAACGTCATCGTCCGTTGTCCCACAGGGAGCAGTCCTGGATTCATTATTGTTCCTACTGTTCGTGAATGACCTCCCACTGCGTATCAGGTCCCCAATTTTCCTCTACGCTGTTGCATGAAGTCATGGAGGGCAGCAACTTGCGAAGCGGAATCGAGTGAGTTAAAGAATGACCTAACAACACTAGAGGAATTAGCAGCAAGTGTCAGAGAACTCCTGGAAGCTTGGCGTTCAGGTCAGTCAGCAATCAATGATGTATTGACATAGACCTAGTCAATCAACCAATAGGAAAAATTATAAACGTCAAAAAGGTCGGGGGTAAAGCAGAGGAACAGCCTACAGGAAAGTCTATACAATCAATGACACAACAATCAAAGGAAACAACCAATCATAGACCACATCGTCAGAGCAAGCCACTAAATCACTCACGGAGAGATATTGACAGCTCACTTCATACTGAAGTTGGCGCTGATGTCGTCTGGTGAGACGATGAAAGTCCCACGATTAAACAACCCAGCTCAGAGGATACAATACAATCAAGAACATCCACCTGAGCTACAAATATTCTCCATTATTTCAAAATGGTATTTAGCCTGGATAATGGGCGGTTCATGTTTTTCCGCGCTCCTGACCGCCAGAAAGTATCCTACTCTCTTCGTGATTCACATTTATGCCATATCATTAAAGAAAAAGACCTGGGTTCAACGGTGACGGAGAAACTGGACACCAGTTCCAGTTACCCGGGTGACGCCTCCAAGGCATAGGTGTATTACGCTCTGTGCGCAGACAACCAGGTGCCCTCACACCCGACCTCTTTCTGAAGCTCTACAAGGCTTACATGTAGCCCCGCTTGGAGGTCCACAATGTCTTCGCTCCACCGCAACTTAAAAGAGGCACCAACCAGGTGGAGAGAGTTCAGAGGCGAGCCACAAGAGCGGTTGTTGTGTTGCAACGAAAACCACATGCGAATAGAATAGAAGACCTAGGTCTATACTCTCTCAGCTACCGAAGGTTACGAGGTGGCTTGATAACAGCCTACAAAATACCGGACAACTCAAATTACCCGAACAGAGGATTACTACCGGGTGGCCACTATGGTGATCTTCGTGGAAACCCTAAGAGAACTGCTCACCAAAGGTCAAAAACCCAAGTGCGTTCACACTTCTCCCTCCGAGTCCACTGGCACTGGAATGTCTTGCCAGCAGAGGCAGTCTCCGCCCCAACTGTTGAAGGCGCCAAGCAAAGGCTAGACAGTCACGCAGAGACCCATGGTCTACCCCCATGTATCTGGAATACGAACGAAGGAGAAGAAGTCTACTGCTGTCACGCTACTCCAACTACTTTACCTCTAGAACCAGTTTTATTTCCACTGCAACCATTTAAGACCTTTCGATGCTTTCCGACTGCCATCAGTTAGCCTTGCTTATCCAAGTTCTTCATATCTTTGCACCTCTTTTCGCCTAACTTGGGTGTAAGTAGATTATTCCATTAGTCCTCTATTCTTTTCCCTTTTACCCACACGAATCTTCCAGTCCAGGTTTTCTCTTTACTATCCCTAAGAATCTCTAACGACCAGTCCAAACAACTGTCTGGCAACTGGATATCTGAAGAAGCCAAATGTACCATAGTTTAAGGCCAACTAACCAACACTTTACTTCCTGTTCTGTTTACCAGAGCTGTAGCAGACGAGTGGCTAGATCTACTGCACTGAAATCCGCCAAAGACCTGAAACCATTCCGCAAGGCCAAGAAGCGAGCAAGGAGGAATCATCTGTTTTACAGAAGCTCGTCAAACAGATATTGGATATTGGCAATGGTAACAATCTTTAGAATTTCAAGGCCAAGAGGCACACTGTTCACACAAAAGTCAAGATGGAGGGTATTAGCGACGATGAGCTCCGTTTGGCTCTATCCAGGTACATGGATGCTGTTCCTCCAGTGACAGGTAGCGTAATTACTCACACTCACGTAAATTAGAATCAACTCGGGCAACCCTGGTCGCTAAATTGAAGAAATGCATGTCCAATGGTTTTGAAGCTACACAAGAAGACACTCAGGAGAGTGATATAAATAATTCGGTAGAAACACCAGAAATCAGGTGAGTACATTTCTCTATGTTGATTTTTTCGTTAAGGCCCACTGAAAATGGTCGTCAGTCTCCGAAATATGAAACCGCATTCCTGGAAACGTAAGTTTTTTTTTCGTTTAGTGATGCGCTACTAATATATACCGATGATCAAAAAAACCTATGCGATGCTACGTGTGGTGAAACCTCACAACTAATCGGCGTCTCTGTCAACATTTTCACGGTGAAACACGAAGCCATTTTCAGAACATGGGCAAATCGAAAAAAACGAGGGGTCAAAAGAATTCATAATAATGCTACAGAACCCTAAGTTCTGGATACAAATTTTCCCGATGACCCCTCTGTATGCCCGGCGAAGGTGTTGGTTGAGACATGTATATATACATGTTTAGTGACTTAGTTTCGTTTGCTTTACGCTGAAAGGTCACAACTTCTGTATGTTACAACAGGAAAGTAAGCAATACGTTTTTCTAACTCTACCTCAGGTTTTCCTTTCAGTTTAGTGGTTTAGCATCCTAAATTGCTTTTTAAGCTGCCAGCAGACTAAAAATTTAGTTATTACTTAAGATTTCTTACGTCCCGAGTGTTGCACCAAGAATAAAGGCTACCGCATCTTGTTTCTTCAGTCATAGTGCAACCATTCTTAATACTTTGTAATGATTTTTTTTGAGTCTAAATACACTTATCTAAGAAGACATTTCCCAGCTTAGGTTGAAATAAGGTTGCTCGACAGTGATGGTAAAGTAATGTGATACTAGTAGCAGTCAAGTCAACAGGTCTGTTATCTGAATCACTGGACCAAATGCTAACTAATATCCAGTTCCCCTAGTTTATTATCAATAGCAGCACTTGATTTCTCAGATTGTTTCAGTCACTAATCAGTTGTGACTGCAGGCATGTGAAGTAATCAGTTACTTAGGTTTCTGTTATCAGGCTATTTAAGTGTAGATTACTCCTGAGGTGATAAACGTAGTCAGCGTCCTTCATTATTTGTGTTAAGACGGGTCTTTCAGTATTTTCACCTAACATGGCTATGTAAGTCATAGGGTAGGAGAAGGCTCGAATTTTCGACCATTACTTCCTTCGTAACATTGTGGAAGCTTCCGAATTAAAAACAGCTTCAGGATATTTTTAACGTGAAATGGTTGATGAAGTTATAAATTTATGTTGTTTCAGATGGCTATAAGTCGTCTGTTGAGTAGGAGTGTTACTGAAAAGTTTGTTGACATCTGGAAAGCCAGTCTAGTCGAAGTGTACCCAGCAACCTTGTAGATTTTCGTGTAGTAGTAGTCCGGGGACTAATGATACCTGACTTCCTAAACCGCAGTAGATAGAGCGGTGTTCTAACCCTTGACTCATTGGTTAGGAGTTATCTCTCTAAACCAATAAGCCACAGCTCCGGAAAGTCCTATACTTTAACACCACAGGTGAAGGGGAAGCACACAGCCCCTCCTCATTGTTCCACACCGACAGTGGAGTTACGCAGGATTGATGGACTTCGCTATTCTCAATTTTGCCATAGACAACATTCTCAAGAGGGTTAAGGATGCACGGTGTTGATGGTGAAAGATAGGCTTTTTGACTCCATGCGAATGATATCTTTCTACTATGTGACAGCGTACACAATTCAAATCACAGTCAGTCATCAGTATCCGGTATGTCATATGCTTCGCATCTTCGAAGTGCAAAGTGATTCTGCAAAATTGATAGGAGCTTATACCTTTACTTGTCGAAATTTTCCGGAGGTTTTGTGTACCTTCATTGTTTTATGGGTTCTGGTACAGGTGTCACTGATGGGGATTTCAACTGCACGTTAAAATCCAGAGGGACATACACCAATCTGGGTCACCTTTTGCACCGTCGTAACGTTAGATTGTCTGTATAAATTGGGCATAATGCATCAGTACATGGAGTTTTGCTCTATACCTGAGCGCAGTGTGAGAATATTCGACCACTGTTTTCTCCGCGGCATTGCTAGCATCCAATAGAGAGACTAATTCTGAGGTCAGGTATGTATGGCTGTGTTGAAGATAGTCGCTCACTAAGTAATGCTACTTGCAAACAGCGGCTTCAGTAGCCTGAGCATGTTACATAAGTTGTCCCAGTTACTCTCTTACAGTTTACTGTTCGCTTGACCTGGGATGGGTTTTGAAAAGCGCAGAAGTGACTAGTGACAGTTATCGGAACAGAACACTATCACTCGTCCAAAAGAAGCTTGGTACCATCTTCAGTCTGCTATAAACTCATCGAAGACAGTAGCCGACTCCGAAATAGTGGCTAAAAAGAGACAGTGGATAACAGCAGCTTCTTCCGAACTAATGGATGCACGTGAACGCATCCCTGCAGGCTCTGAATACACTGAAGAGCGAGCGCAACTTAAAAGTAGATAGAGAAAAAGTCTACGCGACGACCGCCAACAATGGAGGGCAGCGAATACTAAAGAGATGGAAAAGGCTGCACGGATTTTTAACAGTAGACGTTTATTTAGACTTATTAAGGAGACTGGGTGGGAAAGGTCAACAACGGTTAATGAGACTGTAAGGGGAAAAAGACGGATCTGCGATTCACTCGCAGGGGAGACGACTTGAACGATGGGCATAACACTTCGAGGAACAGTTTGACTGGCCTCCAGCCATCATCGCGTTACCTGCTATGCAGTCGAATCCTGAATAGAACATTAAGGTAAGCTCCTAACACTTGTATAAGTCGAGAAGTCTGTAGGTAACTTGAAACGGGGAAAGACAGCAAAACCAGACGGACTAACTCCTGAGATGTGCAAGGGTGGTGGTAGAGTGCTCTTAGGTTGACGAAAGTGTTAGCTAGTATTCGGAAATCGAATACGATCCCCTCTGACTGGTCTAAGCCACTGAGTATTCCAGTCTTCAAGAAAGGTGAGAAGTCCTCCTGTGACAACCACAGAGGAGTCAGTCTGACGAACATAGTATCTAGAATTCTAGGTTCTATATTTCTTTGATGTCTGAGTTGAGCTTTGGAACAGCAAGCCCGAAAAAACCAGGCAGGCTTTAGATGAGGTCGCGTGTGTATCGACCAAATATTCACACTGCGCCAAGTTCTGGAACACAGACACGCTTACTGACACCCAACGATAGCTGTATTTCTCGGCCTGAAGGCGGAGTTCAGCTCCGCTTGTCAAGAAGTCTTATGGCAATGCCTCTCACTGAGTCGTATCGAGTAAGCACATCACCTTATTGAGACTCTCTACTCAAACACTTGTGGGCGTGTTAGAGCCTATGATGAGATATCCAGGGAGCTTTACTCATTGAGTGGTGTCCGTCAAGGGTGCCCACTATCTCTATTCTTATTCAATTTTATCATAGATATCCTTATGGAGATCTCCATCTCGCCACCTGGCTACACAAAAGTTGACCTAATCGCAGGAGAATTTTCGTTAGACATAGAATACGTAGATGATACAATCCTGTTAGGTGAAGATGCAGTCTTCTGAACACTAAGTGGCAATTTGAGAATGTTTTGGGATGCATTTCTCAAAACCCAAATGCAAATTGTTGCTCCAGGATTGATCTTCAACGGTGCCTCGGCTAACAATAGAGAGTAAAGTGGTTGAGTGTGTCGACCACTTCACCTACCTGGGAAGTAAGATCAACCTTGGTGGTTCAGTGGCCGATGCAATCTCTGCACGGATACAAACGGCTTGGCTGGCTTTTGCCAACTTACACCACCTATGGCGCCGCCGTGATATCAGATTGTCTATTAAGGGTCGCGTGTACTGCACAGCAGTCCGGTCTGTTCTACTGTATGGTTGTGAAACAGCCATTGAAGGTGGAAGACATGAGAAGGCTGGCTTCAGGTGTTTGACCACCGTTGCCTTCGTAGTATAGGACGTATTCCGTGGTGTCACTACATGAGTAACGCAGATGTCGGGTATAGAGTTTTAGGGAGAAGAGGTAAATCAGTTGACGAGGTTATGAACCTTCATCGACTGAGATATCTGACTGAGACACGTGTTATGTAAGCCTAGTCGCCGTCTGCCTCGTCATACAATGTTGACCGAAGTAGGTTCAGGCTGGAAAAAAGGTCAGAGGTGGCCAGAATAAAACATGGCATCAATGTATGAAGTCTTTGACCGTTGGTTTGAGCCATGTGAGGCGATGCAGACTAGGTGGTTGGGGTCCGCGGGACAAGAGGAACCAGTGGTTGGAGACTCTAGGTGATATGGCTCAGAAGCGACGTCAGTGGTGCAGATGTATACACACATTATCCTTATCTTACTTAATGCTTTACGGAAAATCACCATTTTCTCATTCTTCGTTTCTCTCTTTTCCTACTTTATATTTTTTTGAACTGAATTTTCTTTTGTTCTTCAACTTCACTGCCTTTTACTTGATGTACTGATATGAGGTGTGACAACTCGGACCGTTAGGCAGTAATGCCTGGTCCTATATTGACTTGGGTGGATGGAGAAGTGGTTAGTATACAACGGGGCTCCATTGCATTGAGGTTAGTTGTGTTTAAGTTGGTATGTGTGGTCGACTCATAAATCCCTGGATGATGTCCAAGAGGTCACTTGTCTCAGTGGCTTCATATGTTAGCAGCCGTGCCTCAATAAGGTTTTGGGTGTTCGACCACAGTTGCCCTCATAGCATAGGCCATATGTTGTTGTACCAGCGCATCAGTAGCGTAAATGTCAAACGCAGATTTTTAGTTGAAACAAGCAAGTCAGCTGATCAGATTGTAAACCTTCATCAACTCCGACAACTGGAATGTTACACATGTCTAATCACTGTCCACCCAGTTTTGCAGTGCTAGCTGAAATAGATTTAAAGTGGTTAGATGGTCAAACTAAAATCTGGCATCGGTCCGTGAAGTCTCTAACTGGTGTACGTCCTACAAGAAAATGCATAGTTCTGCAGTCAGGATTCGCTTTACAACCGAAATCGGTGTTTGAAGGCTGTAGGTGATATGGCTGAGAATCGATGTCTTGTGCAAATACATATGCACATTGTCTTTATCTTAACTGTGATACTCAGTTTCCCTATTGTTTGATTTCTCTGCTTTTTAAGGACTTTCTACTACCTACCTATTGAAATACTAGTCTGCTGCACTGTATTCTGCTGTCCTGGTACACAGCTGTAAGAAATGGCCGTTGAAGGTGAAAGATGTGGAGAGGTTACGGGTTTGATGACCGGTGTATTCATAGCATTACTCACACATGGTGTAATCACCGCCCAACCATCGCTGAGGTTAGGTAAAGGGTAATCAGCAAGTTAGTCTATGGGATTGTAAGCCGTTACCACCTATCTCGAAGTAAAGCGTTAGCTGAAGGAAAATAGGGTTAGAGATGGTTCGGAGTGACCATACTAAAATACAGAGAATCGAAATGCACTCTGCAATCACATACACGTCCGTACAGTAGCCAATGGGTCTGCTCGCCAGGACGTCACACCATTTCATGAATTCTCTGGCTGTTGGTTTGAGCCATGAAGTGAGATGTTGTCTGCCTGGGTTGGTTCCTCAAGATAATAGGAATCAGTGATCAGAGACCCTTGGTGATGTGACTGGAAATCATTCACAGTAGCGCAGATGTATTCTCTGTGATGTCTTCTGTAAGCTTGAACACGTTCCCTAACCTTCATCCTTCGAATTCTTCCTCTTTGCAAGAAGAGACGGTGATGAGTGAAACCACCACCGAAAAGGATGGTACCCTGATAAGCTTTCAAGACAGACGACTAAACCGTTGGGCGGGAAATTGAAGTACAGTCCAACAAGCCTTCATCCAGCCTGAACCTGAATAGAACGTAGATATCGGTCCTCCGACTCTTTTTGAAGTTGAGGAAGCTGTATCAAACCTGAAACAAAGAAAGGAGCGGGATCTGATAGATTACCACCCGAAGTTTCCACTCATAGATTATTTATTCTCTCACACGATTCTTTCCACTTTGATATCGTTTTTATTCCATCCACCTGTTTTTGTATACTACTGTGAAGTGAGGCAACTGATGCATTTGTGCGCAAGGTTCTGTGTTGATTGTCTCTGTCTGTCTGTCCTCTTTGAGTGCAATATTTGCTACTTTAACACTACACTTTCTCTACCCACTTGTTTTTTGCATGCCGCTGCTGAGTGTATTAACTTGGATGGACGCACTTCTGTGCGACATCCTATGTTGGTTTTGTCTACCTGTCTGTTGTATGTGTACTTGTCATTTGAGGAGTATGCAGTATTGTGCGTTGAGTGCAAATAGTTTGGTCAAGTTGCTAGTGATCTTGGTGACAACAGTGGTTTTCATAGTAATTTCTAATGTTATCAGATGTAGTCGCTGATTGTTATCAGCAATTACGTACTTACTTTTCCTGTTTTGCATACGTCTTATCTTGATTTTAAATTTTTCATATTTTGGATAACCGTTTTTAGATCCTTGTCTACAAAAGAAGTTTCTTCAAGTTTTATGAATGGCTTGCCAGTTCAGGAACAATCATCTCCGGTTATGGAATATGTTTCTCGTCTTCCAAGCTATCGCCGTAGATCAGTACACCCCGATAGACCAGGAATAGATAATCCATACTCTGATTTGGGTTGGCTGCCACCAATATTGTCACCGCCAACAAAAAGTCGCGTTCAATTTCCCCACAAACAATCAGACCTCCAAAGTACCAAAGCATATAATAATTCAAATATTATGAAGTCTGTTTTGTATGTCAGTATTGGTTTAATATCAGTCGTCTTCGAGTTTTGTTATTCCTCCGCGTCCAAGTTGACAAGTAAGCAGTTAGTTACATAGCGAATTGATTTTTGCTAGAAAGTTATTATCACTGTAGATATCACAGCTTGGTAATTTCCGGTTAACTAGTTGTAAGCTTTTCAGAGTAAAGTGCGTTTCTGGAGGAAATTCATGTGTTTAATTAGGTGTTATCACACTTTTACTTATCAGACTTTTGATTCTTCACGTTACTTCTTTTTCATGAGTGTATGCTGTTTCTGAGACACGTATACAGGACCTGAGTGTGGTCATTATTTGAACTCACCGTTGAAGTGCATCTCCAAAATTCATCTTATGGGTATCTGGATACCTAATGGCTAGGTCTAGTGGACTCGCTGGTGTTGGCATAACATTGAATCGTAGAGCAGAAAGTTCACTTGTCGACTGCATACCAATCAAGAGCCGTCTGTATGGTGTTTGGTTGAATTGATCTGTAAGAAATAGGAAGGATCATGAAACTAACCGATACCTATTCGTAATCCAGCTAGGCACTCAATGGCTGTGGTTCGGATGATGCAAAGGATGAATTCTATGCAAAGCCATCAATTTCGTTACAGAAAGATATGGTCATAATGACACGTGACTTAAACGCTCTGTCAGGGAAGCTGAGCCAATTGGAAAAGGCATCTTCGAGGTATCTACGGAATCCCATGCTGACGAACTGAAAACGGGGACAGTCTATTGCATTTTTTAAGTGGCAATCATTTGTTTCTGGCCAGCACTAACTTCAGGTATGAACAGAGACTGTCTCATATGGCGTCTACCAACATCAAACCAATGACGGACGCAGTAGATCATACTGCTATAAGCCATAGTTGGAGGATTGCAACTCTTTCTAGAGTACATGTCTGGTTTGTGATCACGCGTTTGTACGGGCCATCCTATCTCTGCACTTTATCCTTCGCAGAAAACAGGTGAGAGTAAAGCCGGTCTGTGTTCGATTGTAAGATGAGGACGCCAGGTTTATATTCAAAGAGGAGTCAGCTAAGCATTTATCCTAACGTAACAGCAATGTTGATCCTGAGGAAACCTGGCATGATATTACGTCTGCTGTGGAAACAGCGATAGATACAGTTGGTAACCTACATCCAAAGGTTAGCAAACTTCGTTGGATTTCCCTGACGTCATCCGAACTGATTGATGCCAGAAGACTGACTCCAGCTGGCTTCATCCACGACGAAAAGCGGAAGCAACTTGAATGTAAGATGACCGACAGTCTTTGTGTCGATCGCGAGCAGTGGTGCGTGACCAAAATGAGATTAACGGAGAAGGCATCAGCACTAAGTAATGCGTGGCAACTATTTTAGGCTTATGAAGAACACTGGCAAGAAGAAAACGACGGTTGGTGCAACCATCACCGAATAGGATGGGACACTGGTGACCTCATGACATGACTAGAAGGTTTAGTGGAACACTGAAGCCCACATCAACTGGCCCATGGCGACGCTTCCGTTACCCAGCCTGCACATGAGTGGAATGAAGTTGTCCGTCCCCCAACCCTCGTCAAAGTTGAGAAGGCTTTTTGAACCTGAAAAGATGCGAAGCAGCAGGATTTGATAGTCTGCCACCCGAAGATTTTGAGGAGGGAGGTAGGAAATCGCCAATCAGACTGGCGGAGTAGTGTATAGGAATCAAAGACAGTGCCGTCAGGTTGATCATTCCAGTCTATAAAAAGGGAGAGAAGTCTCCTTGTGACGCCCATAGGGAAATCATTTGGGCTTGTAGCGTCTGCAAGAACCATGGGATCATAGTTATTTGACGCCTAACTGGGGCTTGAGGAAACCGCGCACGTTTTAGACCTAGACGGAGGTATACAGATTAGATTTTCACCCTTCGACAGGTTTTGGAACACAGGCATATTCATCGTCGACCAACACTTGCCATATTTCCTGACCTGAGGGCACCATTCGACTGGACCATGAAGTGTTATGGCGATGTCCTACTATGAAAGAAGTGAGAAGCAAGAATATGATGCTAATCAAAGCTGTCTACTCGGAATCACGCATCGTAACAAGTGGCGTCTGTTAAGGGTGCTCACTGTAACCGTCCCTATTCAACTTTGTCATAGACATACTGATGAACGTAACCTGAGGTACGTCTGACTTCACAGAGATTGAACTACTCTTTGCAGATCATCTGGTTGACTTCGAGTAAGCAGATGTTATTGTACTCCTAGATGAAGACGCTGACAAAATGTAGTGTTTTCAGTGTGTTGAGCGGAAATCTGAGTATGTTTGGTATGCTTTTCGTACCTGTCAAATGTAAGATGATTCTCCAAAACTGGTCTGCTGCAACTACTCCCATTTTGATGGTAGGAAGTGAAGTGGTGAAATATGTCGACCACTTCATGTGCTTAAGGAGTTGCATCAGTCCGAACGGGCTGGTTGCTGACGAAATCGGAGCTCAGATACAGAAGGTCCGTTTGACATTCACCAACCTACGTCATCTCTGGCACCACACGATGAGATATCCCACTATCAATCAAAGGACGAGTATACTGGGCTGCAGTCCTTTCTGTCATTTTACACGGTTGTGAGATGTAGCAGTTGGAAGTAGAAGATATGGAAACAGTTGTAGCGTTTTGATCATATGTGTCTTCGCGTTTGGTGGATTCACTGTGTGAGCAATGTTGAGGTTAGGCGAAGGGTACTAGGCAAGTCGATTGATGAAGTTGTGAACTTTCATTGACTGGGGTGAGTTGGAACCTACGCGTTTCTCGAAGTGCAATGCAAGACAAAGTTGGAAGAGGATTCTGGGTGGTTAGATTAAGAGGATGCGTGCATTCATGAAGCCTTTGGTTGAATCGTGTGACGTTTTGTAAACTGTGTGGCTGGTGTCAGCGAGACGATAGGATTCAGTCGTTGAGAACCCATGGGGAAATAGCTGAATATCGTTCACAATGGATCAATTGTATGCGCTCTTTGACTTCTTGACTTATTTTACCAACCTTCATTTTGACATGTTCCCCTCCGAAATGCCTTTGGATGCTTTTACATCAGTTGTTCTCCACTCATTTGTTCTTTGTATGCTACTGTAAAGTGTCACAACTAAAACGGATACACTTGTTTTGGAGTTTCTCTATTGATTTTGTCTTTATTTCTATACAGTCAAACTACAGTTGATATGTGCAGTGATAGAACAACCAGATGACCAATTGTAGATGTAAGAAGAGAAATAAGTGTCTATCAGTAATCATAAGAATTGATCAAGTGAACTAAGCCAAGGAAAATGTTAAACCTTACATATTTTGACATTTAATATGATTAAATTTGATGAATTAAGTAATTAATATTCATGTAACAAGCAGTCGTCTAAGAATGTTGTAGAAAATGTGAACCTGTTTCACTGCAATCTATACTCGATTATAATCGAATACTTCACTCTTATATACATCTACCATCTTAATTTCAGTCACCGGGAGCTAGCGTAGCGAAGTAAAAAAAAAGACCCTAGTCTACGGCTTTTCTGAAGATTTGCAAATATTGATGGTTGAACTAGTCTAGAGGAGTATGTTCCAAAATTATTCGACCCCAAACTATTAACAATATACACTGAGTGTGCAACCGCATTGAAGCACTTGTGCTATCACTACCATTCGTGGGTACTTTTCAAACAAATAAAAAACAACAGTTACACTTTTCGTTATCACTTATGATGTTTCACTAACATTTTTTATTATTTTTTCCAGATGCCTTGTACATTCGTAAACCATCAATCCGGTTATGCCTTTGCCTTATTTTCATTGGCCTACTTCTAATTGGACTAACTAAAATCTTATACGGTGATCCATTTTATCAAAATCCTGTTGAAGACCTACACAATTTTATTCAATATTCTTTTACTAAATAGGTATTCAAATATATCAAATTGTTGTGGATTTATAAATTGGCTCAATGTCTTAGCGTATTTTCTATATAGTTTTTCTTTCTATAAAATATTCTGTGCTATGCATTATACAGTCCTGTTTTTTAAATAAAAACTCAGGGTAATAAAATTTGGATTGTTTGACAGAATACTTTGTTTTGAAAATAGAAAGAGAACTTGAGTCTGGTCAAAATGCAGTAGGCAATGGGCTACACCTATTTTTTTCAGGGCTAATGCTACTGGGTGTCCAAATCTCTGTAGGTGGAACGGTGTTCTAACGCGTGACCAGCCTATTGAAAGTCAACGACCCAAACCAATCAGCTCCACAAAGATCGGTGTAGTAAGCTCACAAGAAGCACAGTGAAGTAGGCATGAGGAAAAAAGTACCTAGTTCCTTTATCTTCAAATGCCGGTATCTGTTTGTCATTCTTATGGATATGTTGGTTGCCTAGTTATTTTTCACTTGAGATTACCACAGCACATACTATTTTGGATCGTGATCTAGTCAATATTACATTATTATTATTATTATTATTATTATTATTATTATTATTATTATTATTATTATTATTATTATTATTATTAGTCCCTTGAGTTCCTAGTGGAACATAGGGCTTCAGTAGCACGTCTCCACTCCACTCTGTTCTCTGAGATCTTTTGAACCTGGTCCCACGACAGCCCACAACCTCTCATTTCCTCCTCGCACGACCTCCTCCATGTCACCCTCGGACGTCCAACTCATCGCTTCCCATGGGGATTCCACTCGAGGGCCTGACGCGTGATGTCCTCGGTCGGCCTTCTCAGTGCATGGCCAATCCATCTCCACTTCCTCCTGCATATTTGTTGCGTGATAGGTTCTTGGTTGGTTCGTTCCCAGAGCTCCTTGTTGCTTATTCTTTCTGGCCATCTGATCTTCAGTAGCGAGCCAGAGTAGGCAGTTGTTGATGAATGTCTGTAGTTAATTGTGAATCCCTTTCGTGACGCGCCGGCAAGTCTCTGAACCATACAGAAGCACTGACTTGACGTTGGTGTTGAAAATTCGTATCTTGTTCCACATGCTGAGTGCAGAATATCTCCACACTGGTTTCAGGCTAATGAACGCCTGTCTTGCTTTTCCGATTCTCACTTTGACGTCCTCGTCCGTCCCGCCTGTAGTTGAAACAGTGCTTCCTAGATAAGTGAAAGAGGTTACTTCCTTCAAGTTTCTCCCGTTGACGGTGATTGGAGTTTGTTGTTGTTGTTGATGGTGGTGGTGGTGGTGCGGTATCTTCATCACTTCTGTCTTCTCTATATTCACCTGAAGTCCCGTCTTCGCTGCCTCTTCTATCAACTTGTTAGTTTTTGCCTGCAGATCTTCAAGTTTATGTGACATCAGGCACAAGTCATCGGCGAAATCCAAGTCTTCTAGGTTCTTTACCGCTGTCCAGCCAGCGTATCCCCCTCTTCTCACTCCCCACTGTATGCTGCATGATCCAGTCCAGTCGACCACAATCAGGAGTATCATGGGGCATAGTAGGTAACCTTGTTTCACTCCTGTCTCCACTTCACTTCAAAAGCATCACTGAGCTTCCCATTGTGAATTACTTGGCATGTGGCATCTTCATATAGTTGTTGAATGAGGCGGATAAAGGTTTGCGGTACTCCGTAGTAGTGAAGCAGTTTCCAAATTACTTCTCAGTCGACGCTGTCAAAGGTCTTCTCAAAGTCGATGAAGTTGAGGTAAAGAGCTGATTGCCATTCTATGCTCTGTTCTATGATGATGCGAAGCGTTGCAATTTGGTCTGCACATGATTTGTACTTCCTGAAGCCTGCCTGTTCCGGTCGCAAATTTTGAATCCAGTGCATCTTTAAGCCTCTCCAGAACGAAGCGGCTTAATATTTTACTTGGGGTGGACAGGAGAGTGATTCCGCACCGGTTCTTGCAAACACTAAGGTCTCCTTTCTTCGGCAGTTTGACAAGGTAACCCTTCTTCCAATCACTAGCCAGGTACCTTCTCCTCCTTCCACACCTGCAATAGTGGTGTGAGCATGTCCGCTGTTGTCTCTGCATCTGTTCTCAGTGCTTCTGGCGGGATCCTGTCTGGTCCTGCTGCTTCCCCGCATTTCAGTAGCTTTATGGCGTTCAGGACTTCCATTTTCGTTGGAGGATTTGTGTTCACTTGTAATTCAGCGGCTGCAGGTGGTATTTCTGGACGAAGTGCAGGTGGTGGTGGTCGATTCAAGAGCCTCTTGAAGTGGTCGACCCATTTTTTTTTCTGTTTCTCTTCTTTCGTAATTAAATTTCCTTCTTCATCTTTTATTGGTTTCATCTGTATTGATCTCTTCCTTGATAGCAACCTGGTTATTTGATACAATGTCGTCAGGTCTCTCTTACCTGCAGTCTGTTCTGCTTCACTTGCCAGTGTTTCGTAGAAGTGTCTTTTGTCTTTGCGTGCACTCTTCTTTACTTCTTTGTTCAGTGTTTTATACATTGTGCTCAGTTCCTCTTGTCGTTGAGCATCCTTGCACTGGTTTATCCTCTGTTTCACCATCCTCCTCTCCTCTATCAGCTTCCAGGTATCCGTCGAGATCCATTCCTTATCTTCTTCTTTCTTCTTCCTTCCTAATACTGTTGTGCAGGTTTCTTTCCACATCTCTTTCAAGGATTTCCAGTGTTCTTCCACACAGGTTTCTTCAGGGATGTTCCTCGATATCTCCCATTTTGTCTTGATGGCTGCCTTGAAGATCTCCTTTGTAGTTTCATCCTTCAGTTTCCGAGTGTTGTACTTGAATTGAGGTCTATCACCAGCTTCCTTGAAGGCTTTTAACTTGATTTGGAAGGTTCCTTGCACTAGATAGTGGTCTGAACCTACATCTGCTCCTCTTCTTGACCTTGTGTTAAGTAGACTGCGTCTCCATTTTCTTGAGATTGAGATAAAGTCGATTTGATTTTTATTGTGTCCATCTGGTGAAATCCATGTCGCTCGCTTTGTGGATATCTTTGTGCCTGAACACACTGCCTCCAATTACCAAATCGTTGAATGCGCAGAATTCTGCAAACAATTCTCCATTCTCATTCATTTCACCTAGCGCCTCTCGACCCATGGTTAGTTCTCTTCCTGTGTTGTCCCCTCCCAGTTTGGCATTCATGTCACCCATTAGAATTTTGATATCGCCAACTGACGTCTTGTCCAGTGTTGATTGAAGTTGTCTGTAGAATTCCTCCTTTTTCTCTTGCTCTGCATTATTTGTAGGTGCATAGCATTGTATGATTGTGACCTTTCTTCCTTTTGAGTTGAATCTTGCTGTCATGATCCTGGAAGAGATTGGTTCCCACTGCATGAGAGCCTTCGATGCTCTTGAGGACATCATGATAGCCACTCGAAAACTCAGTGTGCTCGTGGTTGTCGTCTGTGTGACAATATTGGAGTAGATTGTTGACACTGCTCTCCAGTTGACAGTTTGGAGAGTCCACTCCCATTCCATCTGCTTTCGCAAATCCCAAGCACTTCGATGTGATACCTTCTCATCTCCTTTGCAATCTGGGCTGCCTTACTGGGTTCAAACATCGTACGGACATTCCATGTCCCCACGTTTACTTTCGCTTTCATCGAGAGAAGACACATGGGCCAATTGGCTCCCTGAAGGCTTTCACCAACTGGCGTCATTTCGCCTCTCCGATTCCAGCGGGGAATAAGTTTGTTTTCATTTTTTATATTTTGTTTGTGCTTTGAAGTTTCTTTAGCGGTTAGATTTGTTTTACGGGGTAGGGTTGCTAGCCCTATGCCCAACCTTCCCTCTTTACCCGGGCTTAGGACCGGCTAGTAACTAGTGAACTAGTTAACCAGGCGAGGTTCAATATTACATACGTGCGGTGAAAAATCCCCGGTTATTTTTGAATTCACCTCAAAATTAAATGTGCTCCTGTTATTACTGATGGGTACTGTTATTCTCTAATTCAAATACATAGAACAAGACGCGCAAGCGAACGATATTGTTTTAAAGTAGGTCTCAGGTTTTACTCTGATATACATGAATCTATTCATATATAAATCGTGAAACTAATCATGGTGAATTCTTTAGGCTGTACTAATGAAGTAGTAAAGCATAAGAATAGTAACTTTTAACGTTTTCAAATACATGATCGCCAGTGTATTTGCTAGGCTGAAATGGGTTTCTCAAACTAGTAGACACTGGCTGGACTCACAACTTTATGGTTGTTATTTGAACTTCCCGACTGTTAAACCATTGGTCCAGAACTGAAACCCATACTATACAAAGTAATTTATTATTATTAGAACACAAATATGAAACACCAACAAATGCGCCACACAAAATAATCCAACATTACCGAGACAGGGCGATGAGAAGTGGATAGGTAAGAAAGAAAACACAAGAGTAGCATGGTTGGAGGGGCAGTCTAGTAAGACACATTTGAAACAAAACATTACTTCTGAGCGGCATTAGATGGGACGAAGCTGCAGCATGGCCACCACTGAGCTGTGTGGTCTGTCGGACCCTACCCAGGAAGTTGTGAGGCACTACCCGATACAACTATCCTCCATCCCACGGCACCACGTCATACATTGACCACTCCGCTTCTTCCATCCAGTCTCAGAGCTAACAAACAATGAACGGTATGGAGGCCTTCGGGACAGCATGTCCAAGCTCCTGGAGTTGGTGTGTCCAGACGACTTCACTTACGAAATGACCATCTCCATCACGCCCAAACATGCTGTCATACCTCAGAATGACTTATACGGTGTTGCCACCAAATACGAGCAATCCTACGGAGACAACGATGATCGAACACAGTCGTCTCATATCCTCACAACGGAGGCAAGGTTTCACTGGCGTGAAGCAGAATTCCTCCCATTTAGTCGTTTTAAAACCGAACTTTTACGATTAGACTAACGGCCCAGATTGATGTATGCCACTCTGGCTTTCGATATGCGGTTAGAAACTTAAACTTCACACAAATACACTGACTTTCCAACTGGTCGCAACGAAGGTGAGCGCAAGCACAGTCTCCTGCCAATCTTGCAAGATCACTTTGCACTTTAATGGTGCAAAGCACTTACCATACCTACGGACATTAATCGCCAACCGGTTAAGTGCAATTTCAGTAGTCTATGTGTTACTTCACATCAAGACGATATTTTCCGCATACTCGAGGTCAAATAGCCCTTTTCCGGGTAGTAGACCTACACACCACACGCATTTCCTTCAGAGCTGTATCACAAATATCATCGATGGGAAAGTTAAGGGGGAATGGAGAAGTCGGGCAGCCCTGCCTAACGCCGCTGCTGGTTTGGAACAATGGAGACAGGTGGTTGTATGCCGTCGCTCTACCTGAGGTGTTATTATATAGGGCTTTCAAGATGTTAATAAAATAATCAGGTAAGCCCTTCTCTAACGGACAAAAGTAAGTACACAGAGTAAGGCATTTATCAGCTCACACTGGCAGCAGATCTTACCGTGGTCCATTCCTTGCTGTACAACCCATTTCGATCCACATATCTCTGTTCACTATGATGCTGCCATTCATGCGAACATCATACTGTTTCTGAGAAAAATAGGAGACGAAATGAAATAAGTTTATTATACTACCAATACATAACTCTAAAATTAACAAGCTTCATATTCATTATGATTTCCCACTCAAAAATTTATCCAAGAAGTCCTTTGGTTTCTCTGGCACACTATCTCTGAAATAATCCATTATATGTGTATCAGATTTCCAAATATGGGCCACTTCAATCAGTTCATTTTGCCACTAGAAATGTACATAAAATGGTAAGAATTTATTGATTCTAGCATACTTTATGAACCAGTAAGTCAATTATACGTAAGTCAGTGATATTTTTGTTTTTATTGAACTCTTCTCTCAATCTTGCTTGCATAATTGGTACTGTAACACATACACAAGAATCGATATATTCTTTTGGTATGTAAGGTAACTGTCGATACCAAGCACGATACAAGTTGATAGCACGCCTTCGAGCTTCTGCATGATTTCTGGACAAGATCGGTTTCACAACTTTGAAACCACTAGACATAGTACTTATTTAGAACTTCTGCAAACCTAGAAAATTCAATTTCAGATAAAGATAAATGGTTAACATAACGACATATTTCAAACACATCTGGACAATATGAACCTATTAGATATGAAGTTTTGTTACAGTCCTCACAGAGAAAGTGTCTGGTAACCAACTTCAGCACACAACAAATCCCTTCATTACCAGTTAATATACGGGTAAAACTTGAGCACTGTGGTAGAATGTAGTTCCATTTTGGTTGGTTTACTCGATATATCATAAAGTGGGACAGTTTGTTTGCTGAATTATGTTTCGGACATAATTTATTGTCCATAATCATGTCAAGATAACTAATTTCCTTGCCTTCTTTGTAATATAAGTAGTAGAATTTTCCATATATCAGTGACAGGTGCTGAGCCATTCCTGTTCCATCTGTTAGGTGTAGATTCGATAAACAAAGATGCAGTCATCAATCTCTCCGTCCACCCTGCTGTTAGTTTTAAGGATTTTCACCATGTTCCATCCTATTGTGTGTGATCGCATGCATAGCTATGGCTGAGCTTTCTTCTGAATTCCTTACGTTACTAGGATCTACCAATTTTGAACTAGCTAGGTTATTGTGCTCGGATAGCCTAATTGACTCTGGTCGACTGCTTTGACCTCGCAATCGTTGCTAGGGCTTCGGTAAACTAAACTATTCTATCTAATTGAATCAATGGGATCTTTAAAATTGCAAAGCTTATTTCTAATTGAGTTTGTGGTTTGAAGTGCCATTCTAATCCCAGCCTTACTGATTTCTGTGGAACTGTAAGGAAAATATTATTAGTATGAGCAACACAGACGCTGATAGTCGTGATAATAATGTTATCAATAATAATAGTGCCAATACTGTGAAGAAAGAACTCAAAATCTCTACAGTACTGCTATACAAAAAAAGGCACCTAAGAGACATTAAGTAGCATTCTCTTTAAGGCTGGGACTAGAATGGCATTTCAAACCTCAAACTCAATTAGAAGATGAGCATGTGTTGAGGCACCGGGGCCACTGAAATCTAGAGCTATCAACAACCGGTTTCAACTGTTAATTGGGGTGAAATTGGGAAGTCTACATTTCCCTGCATGGCGTAAATCAAGTCATAGAATGGCCACCTTTAGCCTAAACGTCAGGGTAGGGAAGACGGCGAAAATATGGAATATTAGGATGATCTGACCTAGTTTTCGTTTTTAGTTGTCAACCACAAGCTGGTACTTCCAGATTCGCAAGTGCAAAGCAGAAAATGATCGAAACTCCAAAGGCACCTAAAACAGAAGAGATGAACGACTGTGAAGTTCGCTTATAAAAGCGAACATGAACCAAGAACATTTTGAAAAAGGATTGAATTACAAGTGATGCCTAAAAGCCGAAATTCCTCGCTGCATTTGAGTCGCCGCTCAAAGAAAGAATAAGAAATAAGACAAACAGTTGTGGCACTCATGGACAGACCACATTAAGCTGACGACTCAAGAATAGGGAGTGCTCAAAAGGGGATTAGGAGTAAGAAAATATCGCAATATTCCTGGCAGATCAATCACTCGAAATAAACCCTATTATTCAAATTTTAACAACCAGATCACCAAAGCCCTAATTAAGGTTTTCAAATAAGGGTGAATAACAAAACTGGACTAAAAAGAAATGAATTCCTGATGGACCAAACATTCCTCTACGACCAAGAGTCGACAATTTATCCGTGAAACTTTGAAAGCAACTGAAACACCTGGAATCATGTGAACCCACCCCCCTCCAAACCAAATCTCCAACAGAATTTTTAAAAGGATCAAGAGGGTTCATATAATTTATCAAGTGAGTCTGCGCATTCTGCAACTTAACTGACTTATAAGGCTACGTCAGACCAGATAGGGTAAGTGCTCAAGAAATCTCAATTCGAATATAAGAAGTTCGCTAGGCATTTGCAAACCTATATGGTCTCCAGCAGCAGTTAAACCAGAGGAAAATTGAAATAGTAACCTGCTTATAGGTTGCTAGTATGGTTAGACTGATGCTGTTTCTCTTGTCAGTGAAGTGGAGGCTGACGAGAAAATAATGGATAACGATGTTACTGGGCAAAATTGATATGAATTATCATCAATCACAACTTTTGTACAGATATCATTTTTTAATGTATGTACACTTCAATTGCAGATTTTCGCGATTAAATACCACAAATTTCCACATACACATGTGTTCACTTTAAATACGAGAATTTCAATGAAATATGTGTCAGCTGAAAACAAATGCTGCTGAATAGAGAGTAACTTCGTGACCGGTATCCATTCAAAACCCACAAACGTCACTTATACAGGTTATTACTTTTCAGAACAAAAATTTAGTACAAGACAGGCAACACGAGCTATACAAAATAATAACACTAAAACAAAATAATGGGAAGGATGGAAACAATAACAGAAGTGGGTTATTGGAGAAGTCTCCAACATACACACTGGAAAACACCATACTTCTTGGTAGTAGAAGCAAACAACTGCGTCATGAAGGGCATTAGTTTCCATTCTAAAACGTTTTCTATTTACTTCAATCACCAAGTAGCATGACTTCTTGGATTTCATCTCGGGGCTAGTGAGACACCTACAGAAGCTAACCTCATTATCTTTTATCCAAGGTGTACACTGATAACTTCTCCCAACCAGTTCTATGGCAACAAACAGTAAGCGGAATGAAGTCGTTAGGATGAAAAATGTAACATGTCTAAGCTACTGAATCCAGTGTTCTATGACGATTTCATTCAAAGAAACGACGGTCTTCACCACTCCAAAATGCATGCTACCTCACCTCAATCATACATGGTTGGTATGACAAACGTGAGTAATACTACGAAGACAACTGTGGTCAAAAACAGCAGCTTTCGAAAGCCTCAGCTCAGTGACGCCAAGTTACACAGGCGTAAAGCAGGACTAGTTGAACCAGTTTTATAACCGACGTTTTACAGAAAGGTAAACAATACGGCAGCGCCAAAAGTGACTAGAATTGGTGTGTTTTACTCTGGCTTTCGACACGTGGGAATCTCACCAGCCACACGTCTAGTAGCACTCACAGGACCACTTAGGTACAGAAACTGTTTGGTGGGAACATATCTCTACCAAACTAATGGATCTAGGTTAGCATCTAACAGTCATAGTGCGAGAGTAGAAAACTGGTAGTTTCTGATCTCTCGCGTCTAGTTTCTGGGGCTTGGTTCGTATTGTTAAGTTCGTCCCTGCAGTGGACAAAGAAATCTCTTCTGCTTTTTTTGTAGGTTAGTAATTGCAATTTGTAGTGATTAAGGAGCTACGGGTTGCTGCGAAGATTACGGATCTATCGTGACTCTTGTCTGTATATGTGCCTGAATAGGAATAGCAAGATAGTGGTTAGAGCTATATGGGAACTAACCGAAAGGTAAACTTGGATAGTATAGGTCTACCTGCTAGAGAAGAGTTAGTAGATGATATATGTGTATAAGCAGGAGGGATAATGAGTGGCAAGTAGTACGAAAGTAGTGGTGAGCTAGTGAGGTTAGTAATTTTTTGAGTAGGTCTGTGGCAAGCCATGGGAAGTGACTTGACTGTTAACCGTCTCTTGAATGAGTCTACTGAAGGAGTTGTGACTACACCCGGCGGTAAGGCATTCCATAAAGCACATACTCCCAAGGAGAAGTCAGACCTGGGCCTGGCGTTGGCTCTCAGATGTGCTATCCTGATAGGGTTTCCTCGTGAAGCAGGCAAGGCTAGTTTTTTGAGGTGATTTGCCTGATGGACGACCTTGTAGGCCATAACAAGGTTACTGCTCTGTCTGTGATGAGTTTAGGTGTTGCAGAGTATGTTTTCCTCCTTAGTCCGACAGCTGGTTTTGTTGCAGATCGATCTGCAACAAAGATCTTTGTATTATTCCAAGGAAATTGGAGTCTCCCTTGAGTGTTCGGGGTGTCACCCTAATGGACACCTCCAGGTGAAGCTGTACGCAAGACCTAATAACTTTGAAAAACAGTTCGGGCTCAGCTGTTTACCCAGAATGTGAAAAGTGATGTTTGCTCTCACCGCCACTTCTCTGACGTCGGAGCTCGTGTTTAGGGTGACTGAGAAGTTGAGCCTTAAATCTTTTTCTGGGGAACCCTGGAAAAATAGTCTGTTATAGCAGAAAGAATATATTCTTTCCATTGAAGACAACCGTTGGTTGGGGACATCAGCACTGACTTTTTCTTTGCAGAACCCAAATATTTTGATGACTACCTAAAAAGCTTGGAATAATAATAAGTATATTTTAAGATCCTGAATAACAATGTCTCAATAAAAATATTACTCTAAGTGACCTTGGAATACTCCGTTGTGCGCGAAATGCTGCCAATGAATTTCGAACTTCCTTTCGTAGTAATAACGAATGAAAGCTATTTGGGTTCAAGTTCTGTTTATAGAAGAATGCATTCTTTTTCCGAAATACTCAGGTTTAATAATTGGTTTCAAAGCTTCGAGAAGAGCAGAGATAAGCAACAAGTGACTTATCAGCCCCTGCTTATAATGCCATAACCTACGGTTTGTAAGATAACAATTGGGTCCAACTATTCCAAGGAACTCTCAGTGGATTTATTAGTTCCTGTTGTGTTTATAAGTTCTTCAAGAAGTGAGTTCCAGAGTTTACATATCATGATGCAAAACGTTTGCAGTGACCTTCATTCGTGCCCTATAAGGTTTTATTCTTACAAAATGACCTGGGGCGATGTTTTAAATTAAATTTTAATAACAGTCTACTAATACGAAAAGGAATGCGGACGATATGGGACACCATCATATCTTATTGTGTTCTTAGCCGGTTAGGGCTTATGACCTAAGCGACCCATGAAAGTCTTATACCTTAACCGAATCACCTTTTTCACAGACCCAAACTGAATGCATTTCAGGGTGACAATGCCCATCTCCATACAAAGGTATGAAGCCAGTGACTTCCTTCCAGAGACTAGATGAATATATAGTCCGCATACTGCAGCTAGTAGGTCCGGGCATGGCCCACTTGAAGTTTGAGAATGAAGCTCCTGAATTTCACAACCCTACACGACCACGATGAAAACAAGCTTCAGCTATGTTGCTAATAGCCACTACCAGATCATTTTCAATGTTAGGGTGAGTGATATTTTTCTACCTCATTGAGTGAGAATCACAGTTACACGTATTTTGCTTGCTGTCACCATCCTACAATCATTCCTTTTGTGTGGATAGACTTCCAGTGGATAGACTTGTGATTTGAGACGGGTTCTCCTGAAGAAAAAGGCAGCCACTGAACCTTGTGTTTCCTTACACATATTAGGATCGTCGGTAGGTACTAATAAATGAGAATATACGTTTATCAATGAGTCATGTAGGAAAGTAACAAATAGAAGTGGGTCTGGAGTGGGAGCCTCAAATTTCATTCAGCAATATGAACCGTTCGATGAGAAGCAGCACACTGAGACTGATTGCGAACGGGTGTTGAGGTAGTCCCCAAACCAACTGGGAAGTTTTCTTTAGCATCCACAAATCAAATTTTCTCACTTAGTGTTTCATTTTTAAACATTGTCCTTTAGGGTCCTGTCGCCCTCAGGAATGAAACGAGACTTTCTGGATATATTTCAGGCCGGCTGATGTGATGCCAAGTACAACAGAGTAAGTCACTCTGCAGATTGACGAGGGCTGGAAGTAAACTGTAGGTGAGGGGCCCAACCCTACTTTCAAGATTAATCCCAAGTCCCTTGTTCTCCAAGTTGCTCTTTAATGGGTACGTGAGCAAGTTTGTCTTTCCAGCGGCACGTTTGAAATTGTGGTACATTTCAACTTGACTATACAACTGTATCAGAACTTTGTTGCTGACGTCATCATAATGCTATTTAATCTTCAACCGACCAGCCATGTACCAGGTAGGCAACTAGATATGGGTAGTGAACGTAGAAGGGCACGGACACAATTTTTTGTGGAGCAGTGCATCAGCAGTGCCCAAATGTTAGTAACACCAAAGGCCAGTTCCCCTCGCAAAGGCATTACCGATTCATCTTATACTCCATTTATGCTCTGGAGAGAGAGCGCCAGACCGCCTAAGCCAGTTAACGTCAACGATAATAGAAGTAACTCTAGAGGTCTAACGTGTAATAAGACTGCATCTTCAAATGCTGCAGCAGTTGTAGAGCTTAATCGAAGCGCCATGTCTTTTGCAAGACTAACTAGACTTCAGTCATCAAGTGTGATTTGTCACCCCCTCCTGAAATCGGAAGCCCGAAGTCTTCTGTGCAGGAACTGAGATCAGAAATGCGTGAACTGAAGGAACACAAACACCACTTGGAAATATGATAGGGGTGCCCGAAGTGTCACCCCAGCCGGAGGAGGTTACAGCTCAGATCAGCAACCTCTTGCCACTGAGCATCCTGGCGCTTGGTAAACCCACTGATGAAACTGACATTGAAACACCAACCAAGGTAGATCACTTGGTAAAGTTTATTAACGTTGAAGTAAGAGACTTGCACTTAAACTGAACGCAGTGGTTTGTAACGTCTCTAGCACGGAAAAGGTGGAGGTGGTGCGGGAAACTTAGCTGAGAACAGCAAAAATGTGAGATGCTCATGCAAAACGTTTACGAATAAAAAAGAGCCAGAAGGACCATCGTTGTCTTATCCGCTTTCAGTTTTAACTCACAAATGGAAGCAAAAACATTCATCAAAGCAGACGACGTCTTATAGAACAACATCACCAATACAGCAATGAAGGCAGTTCTTGATAAAGCGGTGGTGGAAAGGCAGGTATGCAACTTTGCTCATAGGCCAGACAGAATACTCCGAAGCCATAATATACTAAAGCCGTAGATATCTCCTCCTGTGCACGCAAGCTGAAGATTTCTGCTTCCCCGAGCCCTGTTAAGCCGTGTATGCAGAAAACCACATCGCCCAACGAGGAGACGGAGGACTGCGAAATGTATGATTTGACTCAATCACCTAAAGCTGTAGGTCCTGGCGCATCCGCAGGAAACCCCAAATTGAAACCCGACACAGCACCAAACGCCACAGAACTCCTACTGAGGTCTAGCGGAGGCCTAAAGTCCACAATATACGCCAGCCTAGCACCTAGGATATTGGTTACTCAATATGCAACCGATAAACCAGTGCATCCCTAGAACCCAACATGTAAAGACATATACTGAAAGAATGCAATGGTCGTGGAATCCCTTGGGGAACTGACGTACGCTGGGTCATTTACGAACAGTAGTTCCACCAGAAAGGTTCACTGTGCTGAGCTAAGTCCCAATAGTAGCGAAAACACAAGCAGACGCCACAACAACCCAACCCTGTCGTTTGTCAACGAGAAAAGCCAATATCCAACCACCCATATCAGAACGTCAGAAGGAAAAAGCTTGATCGCCAGCGTGGAACTACCTTACAGAAAACAGCCCCCATCCAACAAAACGTCAGTTATACCCGGTGCGACTCATAACGGAGGACAATCACCAGTAAGGAATACAATGCAGAACAGAGGTTCACAGAGATCGCAAAGCGCAACGATTTTTTGTCCAACACGTTCCCATCAGCAGCTTTGGACTAACAAGTCATGGGAATGCTGAAGTATCTTATTCCGAACCGCTAGGCTTAACATTCTCGGGGCAACAGAAAAGATACAGTCAACCATACGCACAAATCCCATATGCCGACTACCTAAGTGGCGTCAGCAGATGCGAAAACACAACAGGTCTACTGAGTCCTAAAGGCGTTATCATCGACCCTACATACCGACCACGTACAGAGGTAAAACCACTTACTCTCTGCGAGACGGACATGGGTGCTGGAAACTACGTGTGCATCGGGTCGAGCTTTGTGTATGCGGACACGGTGTGCGCGCTGAATGCTTTAAATGAAAACATTACTCCATTCTCCCCCAATAAAAGTGGTGCTATTTCGAGTTACTGTGTGGTCGATTTACCACTAGGATATCCCAGCAACTCGACAACCACGTGAGAAAGAAGCAGGGATGTTTTGCAAAGCAATGGAATTAGACCATGCTCGATCAAGCGATAATGAAACAACTTTAAGTTTGTTTAATGAATTAGAAAGCTGTGCACATCATCACGGTATAAACGCGACTGACGAATCTGACTTAACCTCTCGTTTCCTGGCGTTCAAGGAAATTTTGTCCGTTTCTGTTGCTTCTGGTTGCTATCTGCCTCCTGGAAAACTCTGAATCTTTTGAGGGTGTGCATGTCTCCCTACAAGTTCTGCAAATCTCAGACCACAGGCAACATGAAGAAGCCCTGAACCTGTCTTTCAAAAGTTGAAGTTCCCTAGACCCATCTCGATTTCAAGGTCGCAGATAGTTGGAGTGTGAACCCCTTATTGAAAAATACTTGTAAGGTAGCAGGGAAAGTCATTGTTATTGCCTAACTCGCGACTCCGTTGAGGTTAAGTGATATCGAATATGTTATTAGTCAACTCGTTAACTATTTGTCTAACATAATAGCATTACCTATATTTTTAGCGCTTCTTGCTTGCTTTTCTGTCAGTAGCTCCCGTAGGAATGAGAGTATCAGCGCGAAAAGGCTAAAATTGTCTAACCTTTCGCCTAAGGTTAAAAGTTCCACCGGAGATTGCGGTCCGTTACTTAAGTTGCCCGATCTTATGACTGACATCTACAGCGATGTTAATAAAATTAAGTCCGATATTCTAGAAATCTCGAAGGCAGTTGGAAATATACGTGGTAAAGTCGAATCTATACGCTTCTTTTTCACGTGGTTCTTGATTATATCAATTTGCAGATTTCCTGTTGTTTCTGACTACTTATTGCTATATTTTGTGGGAATATTTCAGTCTATCCCATATATGTGGCTCACAGCTCCGCTATTCTCCTCACATACTGTGTTACTAACCTTTCGGTATACTACGTATAGCCGTTCGCTGTTTTCGATTTTAACGTCTTTTTAAATGAGATCTAAGGCTAAACGTTCTAAAATCGACTGCTCAAGTGAGAAAAAACAAAGACTTGGTCATTCCAGTGCTCTTCTGCGTGACAGAAGCATTGTTACTCAGTGTAACTCAGATCTCGATGATCTGGTATGCCCCACGCCTTTTGTCAGAACCGAAGATATCATATCAGTCATGAGTAGCAGTATTAACGACCACAGGGACGAAATCGACAACATTAAGACCATGATGGAAGAGGTTCGGAGAATAGTTGAGGATTTCCATCCATTAGCATATCTTCTAGGGAAGCATGAGGATTTAGTTGAAGACCATGTAGTGAAAGCAGAAAACTTGATAGACCACTTGGCTACGGAAGGTAAAGAAGAGACTATCGTCGTCCCAACAGGCCATCGTTTATAGTATACCTGACACCCTACCT